AACTGCTAGAGCTTCAACGTTCTTCTCGATGGCTTCACCCCAAAAGTGCTTGACATACACTAATTTTTGAGATCTCCAGTTAACTGTGCCCGGTGAAAACCATACTCTCTGTCACTGAGGAAGTCATTTGTATCAAGGTGTGTCAGCAGCTTACTGTTCAGTAACCTTTCCATAACTTTACATATTACGGAGGTGATGACGATGGTCAATAATTACAGGTATCGGCACGACTAGGACTGGATTTGGACACTTTACGAGTTTTAACAGAAAGGCAGTACAGGACGTCTCAGAACAAGGCACAACTCAGGCGCATAATGCTTAGGTACCCTTGCAGGAATACCATAAGGTCCACTGGCCTTATTAACGTCTAGGTTTTGCAAAGTTCTATATGGACTCTTCTCTCTTCTCTCTATATAAAATGGACTGATCTTAAGCTATGATATAAACCCGAGTTTAAATTTATCTGAGGCCCAATTAAAAGAATAGATAAACAAGAAATCACAAAAATCAACACATGTAGTTAAGATTTGTGTACATTGATCACTGAAACTAACATTGTAACCACTGCAATGGGCACATCATTACTAGACGCTATAATATGCTACAAATAATATATTCCATAGTTATGCTAACACAGCAATTTTCATTAATTTGTAAGTAATATAAATTCAGAATTTTCATTTAAATAAATAAGGTTAAAACAAATGAATTTAGGTTTGGATTAGTCAAAATTAATGACCCACCGCCTACCCTTTATGGAATGAATGACGGGTATACATCTACAGCTGACCTTAAAAAAATATTACTTTTCATATCTGATTATCAAGTGACAGTATCTATGTATTCTACACTGTACTCTCGTTTACTTTTGATCTTATCGCATAAGCGTTAAACTAGACACGTCTGTATTATATAGCAAGTGAGTGCATCCAGTTTGCTACTTCATTTAAATTAATATTTAAGTACATCAAGAATTCATAGTTATTTTGACGAACAAGGAATGACTAGACAAGACGAAAGGACATTTTATAATTTATTTTGTATACGAGTAAACCAGTATTTGACTGCTCTCAGTTCTGCTCTATTTTGTACCAGTAGACTATACCCATAACTAAAATCATACCCATATCTAAAATCCTTATTTATGTCCCCATAATTATTTTTAGCTTTTAATATGAACTTCATCTTATAATATAAAATAAAAGCATTTCACTAAAAATATTATCTTACGGTTTTTATTTTGTTTATTAGTGATTTTCTATCACCAGTATAGTAACGTAAAACATATTTTACATCAAAACGTTTTCAACCTTATGCATATGGATATATGGATAAAGGCGGCTAAGTATGTTTTTTAGCATTGAAAAGTAGCGGAGAAGAAAGTAAAAGATTGCTTCATAGGGGGTTGGCTACGTCAGTTTTTAATCATTTCGGAATATTATCGGGAAGACGCTGCTGTCCATATCCTGTTTTAGTTTCGCTATGTCGCTATTACGACAACTACAGGACGATATAGGGTAGTAGTAACGAGATATATAACTAACTTTGCCCGACTATCTAAATTTTCCGTGGGATGACACTTATTTTTGTTGACGGTTTTTATATGTGGTAACAGAGCAGGAGTCCCTTGTTTTCATTTAAAAAAAATTTCAAATACGTTTGATTTTATATTAATACAACAATTATTTTCTGTAAAAATACTTAAATCAAATATTTTTTGACCAAAGTTTTGATCTTACGCATGGGGAGCTGCCAACGCTCCGTGTAATAGATCAAAACTATTCTATATATACTGTTTTTGATTCGGAACTTTGATAGCGCGATTTAGGCTTCGATGAGTTTTGCTTGTGACGTGACGACAGCGCCACTACAACATAAAATGTACACAACTCCGCGTAACATAAAACATTTTTCAGTTGTGGTGCCTTGTGGGCCAGGATATTAAAGAATAAAAACTTAAAATTGTGACCACATTGAAGGATTTGAACTTGCACACTCAGCGTGGTAGACATATGCTCTCATCCAGTGCTATAGAGAAGATAACAGCCAAGGCAAAATTAACATCAATCTCATTGCGCGCATGTTCCAATTTTATTGCTTTGTGCGAGAAAATACTGAGATAACGAATTTTCACAGAAATGAGGCGGCTTCTAGCTAACTAGATTGATTTTTCGACCCCGTAAACCCCATACTGTAAATTATTACAAAATTATTAGAACCGTTTTCGGCGCCGCGATTGCAAACTAATAAACAAAAATATAAATAATGCTAGTTTAATAGTATATAATAGACCTCTATCCTCAACCCTCGTAATAAAACGTATTTATTAAATATTCTTTCCCTCGGAGACTTTAATGGTAAAGGTATATTAAGACTGACTGCCTCAATCAAGAATAAGACACACCACAGAGTCTAAGTGAAGTAGTATACGTAGTTGATAATATTCAAATCAGGTCTTGCAGTTGACCAAAGTATAGAGATAATATTATAATAACAAGATAATATCCTTTATTTGCTTTCATATAAATATGTTTAAATTTCTTTCCATGATTAAGACACCAAAGGAATTGTTGATTGATTTCAGCTGTCAAATTTCACTATCGCATATCGCAATAAAATGCACGATCCACCACTTTGCGAGTTACCTTTCTCGCAAGACTTCTTTGTGAAAATTGCTAATCAAATATTTTTGGACCACCAGGAATTAGGGACGTCCATGAAAAATTTTTTCCTGAACCTCTGATTCCTCTGGTGTAGGTGGTAGTCACTTACCATCAGGTAAGTTCCTGCTCGTTTGCCCCCACTTCTAAAAAAAACACCGTACTTTTAAAGAGATAAATAATATTCAGCCATAAACGCAAAATACGCGAAATAAAATTAAAAGAGATTTATTGGATATCGCTTACGTACCTGCGGTAGAATTAATAGCTACTACGGCGTAGTGCTATTAGGTCATGTGCGAGCCATCTGTTGGGCCTCATTTGTCTAAGTCAACTGTCAGATAAGCGTATTAATGAAGTCCACAACAGAAAAATCGTTTATTTTTTCCTAAGCATTTTTTCTATAGCATTTCCATAATCTGCAGTGGTATTTTGGTACATTGGTACTACATTAGTACACTGATGAACATTGCCTCCCCCCCCCTAAAAATACATCACTCCATTTAGAGGGAGGCTTCCCTACACTTCGCTGCCATCCGAGAATCAAGATCACAATAAAATGCGTTAGAAGTCAATTGTGTAAATCTTATTATCTAAATCTAATCTTATTTTAGGTACAACACATTACAAGATGCTTTACCGCCGATCTATCCTATATATACTGAAAAATGATGAGATATTCTGACAATTTATAAGCTAATTAAATAGCAGTTAATTTTCAGTATGCGAATCAGCCATATTCTATCCCAGTAAGTGCCAGTGGTTAATAGTAAATTACAATTGGCTTGGTAGGGTAATGGCTAAAGGCTTTGGCTCCAGCGCTTCGAACTTCGGATTCGATTCGCGGTCATAATAAGTATTTGTAAGGTCCGCAAACAATATTTTCGAGTCTCGAAAATGTTGTTATTTAGTTTAATTGAATCCCAGGGTAAATAGTGAATTAATAGCACTAATTCGCTATTTACACCAAATACCATAGATTAAGTATAAACTAATGTTAGAATACTAATCTATAAAAATCTTTTTGCTCTGGAGTTTATGTTCCTGGAATTAATACAAATCTATAAAAAAAAACACACATTTAATAGTAAGCATATATATTTTATTTAAAAAGTTATAGTTAAATTATCCTATTGGAAAACCACACCACGAATAAACCATAGCGGATGAAGAAATTGCCGGTTCCTAATTATGTAAACATACAATCAGCTCAAAGACAGACACCGTAGTGCAGTGTAGAATCTTGTTAAGCTACTGTTTCTATCTTACGTAACTATTCCTGTTTTGCTATTTACAATTTAAATTGAGCTAATTTCATATATTGAAAGTTACATTTTTTTATTTACTAGTGTCTCCAGTGGTAACATGATCTTTGTTTAAATGTATAATGTGTTTTGAGAATTTCATGAAAACTTACGACTTGTTGGTATCATACTATATACTAAAGTATTGTAGAGAAGCAAAAGAAATAAAAGTAGCAAACGATATCTACTGTGCTGCTCCAGTACGTGTTTACAGACTTCACATCATGTCTTAAAATATTTTTGATTTCTCAGCCATACTAGTCATTTTCCTTGTAATATTTTCGTTCGCCGTCTCGTGGATGAAGTATTTCAAATAGTTCGCTGCTGAATATTAGTAATGAAATAATAGTAATAAATAATAATAATAATAAGAGTAGTAAATAAGATAATAATAAGAGTAGTAAAGAGGCGTAGGGAAGTGACGACCACATCGCCCGCTGACGTAACAGTTATGTGACAAAACTGCTACGTCGGCGCAGTCAGTCAGCGCCCTGCCAAGAGGTGTGAGCGCCGTGCCTAGGCCAAACTGTGGGTGCAAACGTCCGTTTGTGCATATGACCCAACCACGAAACGGTGCCGGGCTTGGGCGTCTCCCGCTATTTGGCGCCCATAAAATGGATGATGGCACAGAGAGGAACGCGCATAGGGCCACTGCCTGGGGGTGGCCGGGACGCGTTTAGAGCTGGTGCTGGACGTGGCAGCATGCGGGCCGCCAGCCGAGCGCAAGGAGCTGCACGATCACCTAGCAGCCCCCCGCATCCATCATCCCCACCGGAAGGCTTGGTGTCAGCTGGGTCTTCTCGGACTCAGCAAGCGGCACCTACCGCTGGTGGAGCACGTCGCATGCGTTGGACAAAAGCTATGAACTAAAACGCATTGCGGGCGTTCTATAGGGCGAAAGGGAAAGAAACTGTGGGAATAGCGTATAGGGCTCGGATGCATTGCTTTTTTGCTGAGCTGGAGCCGTCTATTCCCGTCACGGAACAAAACCTGGCAGACCGAGTTCGTTACATCATGCGCTCGAAAATATTTGATGATGCCGAATGCTCAACGACTACGACGTGAGGCTATTCCATCATCGAATGAATCGGCTATGGCTGGGGATGCAGCTCCACATGCGACAGACCAGCATCCACACGTGGAAGCCGCCATGGATCTTCCAGTTGTGGTTGATTCGAACGATGATGAAATATTCTCCCACGAACTAGAGCAAATGAGGAGCATATTGGATGAGGCGATTTTGGAAACGCGCAGCACCCCTCCCGAAAATCGACTGCGACTTCCCCGCATACCCCTAAGCAAGCGAAATCGGGCTGACGTGAGGGCTCTGAACCTAATGCTGGTGGCGAGACGGACTCAATTTTTTTTAGCGCCGCAGTGGCAGTTTACCGTATAATTGGCGCCAAACTTCACATGGCTGGACGCGCTACTACACAAAATAGCGCCATTCCAGCCTGGAGAAAAAGAATCAAGGACCGTATCGCAAAGGCAAGGACCCTTATCGGCAGACTGACAAGCTTCAAGTCGGGTAATAATAGACCGAGGATTGTACGCACCGTTAGGATGGCGTTTGTTGGGACAAATATCAGTTTGTCCCAGCCGGACGCAGAAACTAACGGAGCGCATAGACGACCTGAAGAAATAGATCGCTGCTTGGGGGAAGCGGATTCGACGATTTACCGAGAGGTCAAGGTGGTTCAACCAGAATCGTCTCTTCCAGAGTGATCAGAAGAGGCTCTATAAATCATTGGAGCGACCAAAGGTATGTGGAGCGGGCCCAGGACCGGATCAGGCTGACATTATCGTATTCTGGCGTGGCCTGTGGTAAGAGCCCATAAACCACAGCGAGGGTCCTTGGATGGAAGTTGTGGCGAGCCGAAGTGCGAGTGTTACGCTTATGGACCCCATCACCATAACGCCGGAAGACGTGGATGAGGCGGTCCGTAGGGCCTCGAACTGGAAAAGTCCGGGGCTCGACGGGCTACATCATTACTGGCTGAAGGGGTTCATAGTGTGTCACGTTGTGCTCGCCCGACAGTTTCAAGAGGCTCTCGAAGTCACTTAGAAGTCGCTCCCGTGCCTCTTCACTACTGGGATCACTCACTTGATTCCTAAAGATCAGGATACCACAGACCCGAGCAAATACTGCCCCATCACGTGTCTACCCACCATATATAAGACACTGACATCCATTTTGAGCGTGAGAATCACACGTCATCTGGAGCTAAACCAGGTGATGCTACGCGCTCAAAATGGATGTCGGGGGCGGTGGTAGTGGAATCAAGGAACCACTCCTCATTGACGCGGTCTTATTATACTTAGTGTGAACCAAGTCGGAACTTCGTAAGTCGCCTGGATAGACTACAGAAAGGCGTTCGACTCGGTGCCCCATACATGGCTAAAGATTGTAGCCTCGAGCTGTAAAAGATTGACTGTACATTTATAGACTTCCTCGAGCAGTGTATGGGGTAGTGGAGTACGATCCTTTGTCATCTGGGCGAGCGGATGATGGTTGCGGAGAACCACATAAGGATAAGAAGGGGTATCTTCCAGGGCGATTGTCTGAGTCCAATCTGATTCTGCCTCTCTCTGAACCCTCTCAGTACCTTACTGGAGAGGAGGGACAAAAGTGACCCAAATTTTCTATATGGTCGACCTCAAGTTATTCGCCTCCAGTCGCTCCCATCTTATGGAATTGCTAAACATCACTTGTGAATTTAGCAACTCCATTGGAATGGAGCTGGGGACGAATAAGTGTGCGGTCCTCCATGTTGAAAGGGGAAGGGTTGCTAACTCTGAGGGCATAGACTTGTCTATGCCCTCAAGACTTAGCAACTCCTCAGACTTGTCTATGTCACAGAACATCGGTGTCGATGAGGCTAGTACGAAACAGTCAGTTGGCGACGTCTTTTAAGCACCCTTGACCAAATTGTTTAACAGCCTTTTGTCCTATATGAATAAGACACACGCACATAATGGTTGGGTCATGTCTGTCCTTATGAATACGTTTGGTGTACTCAGGTGGTCTCTAACTGAACTTAACGCCCAGGATAGAAAAGTCCACACTACCACGACGTCCCATTGGATGCATCATACGATATCATCGCTAATGAGGCTGTACTTGTCGCATGGCTTTTTAGACGCGCTCACCATGCAAAATCGCGAAGTATGCAGCTTCCATAATTACTTTCTGGTGAGATCGGATGATCTTTTACATAGGGACATCATTTCTTGTGATAAAGGACTTATTCCCCTATCCTAAATCAACAAGCAATGGTAGAACATAGCATTGCCGACCGAGAGACCGCATGGAGGGAGAAGTAACTTCACGGGAGGTTCTACATAGCTCTTTATGAGCCTTTCGTAGACATTGTAGCCTCCCTTCACTGGCTACGCTTTGATGACCTCTTCGGGGAAATCGATGGTTTTATTTGTGGTTATCGGAGATACATTCTAAACGATGGCACCATCGATATCTGTCTACCTTGTCGCCATTCCGGTGAGTTACTTAGACATGTCATCTCCAGTTGTTCGCACTTTCTAACTCTGAATACTTGCACAGGCACAATTACTCAGAATACTTCACCAGGAGCTCACTTTGAAATGCAAACTCGTGGACTGAAAATTGCCGTATATATATATATATATATACTACACTGAGACTAGATAGCCGCCTCTTATTTCTGAAAGAATTATTCCGTCAAGGAAATGTTTGCCGCGAAGCCCCAATGTGTGTTGACGAACTTTTTTCGTTGAATATTTTATTTTTATTTTTTCAGACATGCGGATTTTCTCAAGATGTTTTTCTTCATCAGGAAGCACTAGGTAAAGCAATTAACAATTTCATTGTTAACGCTTCATTGTTCACTCGCCTGTTGCAAATTTATAGCATATTTTACACCTTAGAGCTAAGACATTTCTGAATAAATGTAAGATATTTTTTAATAGTTAGCGTACCTGTACCGAGCCAGTGTGTATCTGTCAGTGTGCACGATGTCAGTCAATTTCTTGATTCCTACTATACAAGATTAGTGTATAAGCCGCTGTATTGTTAAATAATGTAATTAATCCCTTGTTGGTTAATAAATATATTTTTATTTCAATTTCTATTTAAAACATTTAAAAAAGTTAAGCCAATATACTCCTTTAATATCATAACACACAAGCTTACTTTACTTTTTCACTCTTGATATTTAAATATAAAATATGAGATCGTCCAGCATATTCGCTTGGTTTACATATATTTAATTATAAAACCCTCTAAAGTTCTCTTACAGAAATTCATTTTACGCGCCTGCGTATGATGAAGTGCTATAAAAGTTAATTAACTAACTTTGTTCCAGCTACAATGCAAAAACGAGGATAGCGTATGTGAGCCATAACTCAGTTCTAATTTAAATGTATCCGGAAAATGAAATGTAATGTAGCGCATATTTAATTTCGATTTCAGATGTTCGTTAGAAAGGTCAGCGGAGTTTTTTGGGATTATTCATGGCCGAGCTCAAAACCCGCTACTTTGGTGAATGTACGTAGTTGTCGGAGAGGGATCGAACTTTGTGGGAGACGTAGCAAGGATGCAAAACAAGCAAACAAATATGACAAAAAGTCGCAAGGCGATTAGCCCACATCAAATGTTTCCCCGTAGTGAGTGGTTTTTGAGAGGATGTTATACACAGAATTCGATTCTCGATTAAGAATCAAAATGCTGATGCGTTGTAACTCCTAAGGAATATTATAGATTGCAGTAAAATGGGTCTCCGATTGTCGTCACTAACCACATGAAACATAGCAGAATTCAAAGAGTATAAAGGCATCGTTATGGTACTATTTCACATTGGCATTCCGTGCAAGCGTAATCCTTTCTCGCTCAAGTCATTGGGCCCGTCATTTGTACAGCAGTTATAACATGCAGCTGCGTAGCTCTATCACGTAAAAGCATGTATATCAGTGTAAAGCTTTACCTTACGGTTGCCGTATAGTGACGACGTAAAGGATATAAAAACGAGGTAAAATTCATCAACATATTTCAGTCTGTAAGTATCGTATGAGGCGACTGTAACCATCTCATTTACGCCAGGGCTTAAATATCTGCCTGACAAGCATGACAATAATGGTAAATTCATCTCACAACGGAGAAACACGCGGCATGATCTCAGTAGACTTCTGCAGCTAAACTGTGCAGACATGAGTAAACAGCAGTGGCGCCCGTGTAGCTACTTGTTTTGCTTGTATACGAATGGACCTGCCGCCGCCTGCCGAAGGCAGTCTTGGCTCTGGCGTGGCACGGTGCACTTGATGTATTCCGTTTTTAGCTTATCCTCGACTCTTCGGATAATTAATTCGTGGAAACGAATTAATCATTATTCTCAGCTATTAAAGTAGTCTCAGTACAATATATAGTTGATTAGTTCTGTTCTTATTAATGTAGTCTGTGTATTATATGATTGTATGAAATGATATATTGTAAATTAATTCCATTTAAAAGAAATGTCTCGCTGGGTTTCTTGCTGGTTCTTCCCAGGACAGAGGTTTTCCCCGAACCAGTAATCATAGAGCTATATAGAATAAAAATGATTCTATTATATTATGTAAGCCTTTTGCGTAATAAACCCTGACAAAAGTACTAACGAACATAAATTATATATATATATATATATATATATATATATATATATATATATATATATACATATATAGTTACATATGTATCAGTTCCAGGAAAGCACTGGTTATCGTCGCCTTAATCTACTATAAGATAGCAGATAGCTCCTCAAAATTAACGCCTGAATTTTGAGGCTGCTTTATAAAAGACAAAATAACCTAAGAACTATATAGCTGTGAGAATCAAGCAGTGATTTTTTTCTTTATGTGTTATCAAAAGTAGTTATGTTTATGTAATGGCTTATGAATTCAATGAGAGCCGTGGTAGCTCAGATGGTTAGCGCTCGCAAACTAAATTTCACAGTACGCGAGCAAACCGGGTTCGATCCCCGCCGGCCCCAATGAAATTGTTAATTGCAATTTTAAGTGCTGATTTACCACGTGCTCGGCGGTGAAGGAAAACATTGTGAGGAAACCTGCATGTCCGAGAAATAAAAAAAAAATTCGAAGACATGTGAAGTTCGCCAACACGTATTGGGGCAGCGCGGCGGACACTTCCTTGCCCTAAAACCCTCTCAGAAATGAGGGGAGGCCTGTGCCCAGCAGTGGGACGTATATAGGCTGTAACTTTACTTACTTTACTTTATGAATTCAACAATATAATGTAAACCAACCTAACACTACAAATATTCAAAAGTTATCACTTGCAAAAAATATATAGAAAAACCACAAATATTCGCACTAATAAATTGTAAGATAGTTATTTCTTAGACGTAAGAAATTACATCGTATTTC